CAAGAGATTCGAGAAGTCTTGGACCTCGAAAACCTACCACCAACATACCACGACCTGTCCCTAATGTCGAAAACCGAATGGCTTCGACAGGAACAATCCGGAGATCGTTCAATCCAGATAGGGGAGGGTCAGGGAGCCGCGACGACGCTCACGAATCGACGCCGTCGGAATAGGGGAAAGCAGACCGATGAGAATATCTCACACATGGCCATAGACGCCAGATCGAAGCTAAATACGACTTCTCCAGAGGCATCGCTAGCGAAAAGGACAAACGGTACAGCCTCGACTGCTTCGGAAACCCCAGAGCGCCACTTAGAAAGTGCGACTGCTCCGTCCGAAGAGGACACTATCGAAATCTTGAGGAAGAGAGATAACGATACTCCTCTGACGATGTCGAAAAGCTACAATGAGGTAGCCAACCAGCAGGCTCGAGAGGAGAACGAATCACAGAAAAACGATATGACTCCATCGAGGCCGATGCATGCGAAAGACCCTGTCGAAACAGAGACACATACGCAGGGCATAGAAGGCGCAAATGTCGAGTACCCTCAAGGAAGCTCACATTTCCAGGCGCAAACATCATCCCACACCGACGCACCCGCGTCTACATCCTTAGACACCGAAGCTACGGCAGAGACCACGCCAATACACCCAGAACACAATACATCTGGTGAAGTACTAGGCGAAGAAATGGATTGGGAATCGGATGGAAATACCGTCTCGATAGTGATGCAGACACAAGAACAGCCACCACCACATATTCGACATGTTGAGGGAAGATTCCTGCGACCGAATCCACGTCGAAAAGAGATTAAGGATCTGTAATCTGACACTTTTTGGGATTTTCTACCTAAGGAAGAAAGAGTCGACGTGCCATTCAAGGTCTCACCCCTCCGCGGCTGCATCTTCGAAGTGTCCTGCATGCACATCCGCATCGAACTCCCAACCGCCGAAAAGTCTCTCACCCATCCATGAAGGATCTGAACCAAAGCAGATTCTGCAACCTCACCATCTTCGAATTCGATACCAACCCCATATGCATCAACGCTTTCGCAGATTGTACGAATCTCGACTGTCATTCGAAAATGAAGCACCACCTCGCTGCCCTCGAGGAGAAAGACCGTGCGTCGAACTGCCACGGCCTCGAGGCGACTGAAGAGAACCACCACGCCGAGAACCACCACGTTGAACACCACCATGTTAAGCATCACTTTCGATGGACCGTTGAACACGTTGGCCACCGAATGCCTGAGAGGATGCCATCGGGCTCGACGCTAAGCCAGCGTTCGAGTCTCGCATGTCCCAAGGACCTGGAGTCGTAGTTCCTTGACGACTTCTCGATTGACTTGCCTCTCGCTCCATATTCTCCATGGCCTGTGCTGCCATCGAACCCGGTTCATACACGGACTGTCGTCGTGGCGGAGTCAACGCAGGAGCAGGGTCGAAGGACCGACCAGCAGAACGACGGTTAGGCTCACTCGAGGCTTGCCATTGAAATCCTGTCGGAGATCTGAGACTCACATTTGGATTTCGAAACAGTTGGCCGCTGATGTATGCCAATTGTTGAAGGATGGCATTTCGAACCTGAGCATTGCTGTAGTCCACGTCCGGCATCTGAATGAACAGTGGCTCACCACTCGGGCCTCGAACAATCATCTCAGGATACCGATCTTCAGCTCCAGGCGAGAAAATTCCTCGATGACGACCACCAAACCCCATTTCCTTCGTGTCACGACGCCGTACCTCTTCATCATCGGGCACCTCGAAACCATGCTGCACCCGGTGGACCGGCGGTGTATCGAAACCACCACCCGAATCTTGCTTCACCTCACGCTTCACAGCACCGCGTTGAGATGATGCTTGCGAATTTCGATGCCCACGCTGAAGGGAACATTTCTGGCCTCGAAGAGCGCAAGTTGCGCAATGACCAGCCAACAACCATCGTGTCGAAGTACTGTGAGGATCCATGTCATCCCGTGCCATGACCGAAACGCACTCTGGGAAGACGGGTTCCGTCTGGTTGCGACCTGTCACGCCTGCCTCACACTTCGAACAAGGAGGGTTATTGACGACTTGACCCATGGTGTACCCCAACGCTCCGAGAAACTGTACTTCATTCATGAAATCACGATCACCATAATATTCCAAGGGACGTCGGAGGGAAAGGTTTTCGAACTCTCGGACACCAGGTGTTGCATTTTCGAAAAGAACGCCATCCACCAATTCCTGCTGCCAGCGGGACCAGTCATAGAACTGCACACCTTTGGCCACCCGGTTTCGACTTCCATAATCCTTCGAAAACACGTCAGAACGACTTCCCTGCGGGAACATCGAAAACACGACTTACTGCTAATGATGCTGACTTCGCTTTCACATTACTCGCCAACTCTCGAATTCGTCTCACTATACGCTCATAGTGACTTGTCGACGGGATTTGACAACCACGCAGGAAATTCGTAGGGCGACGGGACGGATCATCACCGCCTCCACCGCCACCCAGCGAACCCGATGCTAATGCACCCGGCCCCGGCGCTTGGACGATAGGCGTGTGGACAGACTATACAGCTGTGTTACCAAGTCGAACCCGCGACGACGTTTCGAATCCTACTCACCATGATGCAAGATCGTTCGAAGTTGAAGAAAAGGATAAGATCTCGAAGGGGTATGGACAAAGAAGAAGAATCGCTGATGTGCGATAGAAGAGAAGAAAAGAGTGTAGAAGTAGGAAGGGGAATACTTATCGACAGTGAAGAACTTTCGAATCACAACAAACAGAAACCACTGGAAAAAGGGCCCGTGTTTACACGACAACGACACCTTCCCCCGTCGAAATCCTTACCTTTCCTATAGGAATTTCTTCACTTAGTCGCTATGGAAGCTGGCATGTGAAAATACCACCGACACCCATTCACTCCATTCCCGCACCATCTATTTCGCAAGGGGAATGATACCGAAAGCAATCGAGAAGGGACATTTGCATTGCGGCGCCCATATATTTACTCCATATATAGCCATTCGAAGCCTGGCGTCGAAGATGGGATTGTTTCTACAACTGACAAGGCTGAATGCGGGCATTCGAGGCTAGATAGGGGAGGATGTGATATGTGGCGACGCCAAGGCTTGTAAAGACCTTCGGAAGCGTTGTACGCTTCGTACACGCTTCGAAAGTATATAGTCTGACGGTCCCCTGGACCCTTCGAAATAGGACAAGTCCTCCGTAAAATCACACACTGGCAGCGTTGAAATCACGTGACGAGCTGAAACGTCTCAGCCTTCAAGCTTGATGTAGCAGAAATGGGGTTCCTGACTCCCTCTCAAACATGTCCTCGGCGTGCTTAATGGGACATCATGCCCGGTTCAATAGCTCTGGGGCCTTTGGAGCTTCAAAGAGCCCCCAGGACTTGCCCGGTATGCCACAATATCGACAGGAACAAGATTATATATTGGAAGGGCGGGCCGTCAAGACATCGAATGTTCAAGAGATACTTCTCCAACAGTGACTATCACAGTCTGCCTATTCCATTGAAAGATCTCAAGTTCTCTGCAAGCCGAGATTGTTCCTTATGCGTTATTGTATTCGAAATATTCCGATGGCTTGCCAGGACCAAGGCCTCAGGTATACACGCCATATATCAGGCCAAGGTCGAAATATGCATTCCGTTTGATCCCAAATATCCTGTTGTACTGACCTATTCTTGGTTACCGGCACCCCAAGCTCCGATGCCTCGTCAATATGATTTTCAATTGTCGATTCCGAGCAAATGTCAGCGACTAATGTAACCCCCTTTGCTAAATATGATGGTGTCTAGTATATTGACTTCTGTTTCCTTCTTAGGTCATCGACTACCTTGGGCTACTATGAATGTGGGTCAGCAAGTACCAAGCGACCCCAGGCTTAGCATATTCAGATCACGAACCTGGTTACGAAATTGCCTTCAACACCATCATAAGACCGGGTGCAATTCAAATCCCAAAGGCATACCACAGTCGATGCCAAAGAGGCTGCTGTTTCTGGGTAACACTCAAAATCAAATCAGATTGGTCGATGATTTCGATGGTGGTATGATACCTTACTTGGCTCTCAGCTATTGCTGGGGCACATCTCAATATCTCATCACCACCTCACACAATTATGAGCAACAGCGGCGCAATATTCGTTGGTCCAGCCTTCCTGCGACATATCGAGACGCTATCGAGTTCACTAGGGCCATTGGATATCGGTATCTATGGATAGATGCTCTGTGTATCATCCAAGACGACAAGGAAGACTGGAACCATGAAGCATCCCACATGGCAGATATCTACAGTGAAGCCGTCCTAGTCATCTCAGCTGCAAACGCAAACCACGTAGGCTTTGGATTCTTCCATGAAAGACTCGGTTCGAGATCGTTCAAAAACAAACTGAAAAGGGGACCAGATGAGCCGACCCACGTCTTGGTGCAAGAGCCGACTATTCACAGCAACATCATTGGAAACCCCGGAATTGAAGAGCAATGGCCCGTTTTCCGTCGAGCCTGGACTCTCCAAGAACGAATGCTTGCAACGCGCCTGGTTCATTTTACCACAGGTGAAATCATCTGGGAATGCGCCAGTATGTGCGCATGTGAGTGCGGACATCTGGAGGCTACCAATGCGGTGACCTCTCGAAGACGATATGATCTATCGAGTCTCGATCGGATCAGTGACACCGAACGAGCCAATCTCTGGGATGAACTAGGGTTCTCATATCAAAATAGATTGATCACCCAGGACAAGGATCGCCTTTCAGCCCTCTCTGGTCTTGCTCACCGATTCCAAAACGACGGATTGGGTCAATATTTGGCGGGATTTTGGTCAAATTTTGCCATCAGCATGTTGCTTTGGGAGGTGAAAAAGGGACGGAAAGCTACCGAGTACATAGCACCGTCCTGGTCATGGGCTTCCATCCATGGGCGATTGGCCCGCAATGATTCCATTGAACCGAATGATCGGTTCGACGCGATTCTTGAAGACTGTGGCTCCGAACCAGCGACCACCGATCCCTACGGGCCCATTCTCGAAGGGTCAGGGTATGTGACGCTCTCGTCGCCGTGCATCGACGGCATGATCGTCCGAAGTGACCGTAATGGACATCCCATGGTTCAATTGACAACAGAAATCCAAGCGTTCCTCGTGAGCGACGTGCATCTGAAGCAAACACAAATCGGTGCCAGGGTCAAGTGCCTTTTCCCACGCGGTCTTGAAGCAGGTCCTTCTGGCCAGTATATTGAGGCGCTGGTCTTGATAGTTTCGAGAAACATGCAGGATTATGAACGTGTGGGCATTGCTCACGTCCAGAAATATTCCCTCAAGAATCATCAAGATCATGGCCATGATATACGTTTGGTCACACAGACAGTCAAGATATGTTGATATCATTGCACATCACGCTGTCCGAAGTCGGAGAATGAGCGGCAGAGAAAGATCAGTTAAGCCTTCTTTACAAACGTCTAGTCTTGGACCGTTTAACCCGGCAGAGTAGGCCAGAGAGCACAGATCACGATCCAATTTGCGTCGTAGTCTTTGTCCACTGGCCTTCTCGAGACCCGACGCTGTCGAGCCTCCGACCCTGGCTGTCTGTTTTAGAGACGCAAGTAGGTCTCATCTTTTCTTCAGTGGATTGGACGCTGATTTTCTTGGACAGGCAGGCGCTCAAAGTTCTCAATGATGACGAAGTTGGAGTCCCCTCTCGCATTCTCTGGAACTCTCTTTGAGGCTGTTATTGTATGTAGGAATGGTGTTCTTGAGTTCGTCGACGGCACGCTGGGCGGGCAGGAGGTGCTTAATCTTCCGGAACGGTGGTTCCGCTAGGACCCTCGAGGAGTGGACAAAACGAGCGGGACGCCAATCTTGGATTGAAGTTGAGGCGTCTAAACAGGTAACCACCCCATTGCGAAAGCAGAGAACGCTGAAGAAAGCGTTCAAGAAACCAAAGGACGTTGACCACAGCATTCTGCGGAGCCTTCAACAACTATCAGGATCTCTGGGACGTCCCCCCGGGGGGCCTCCCGCTTAATATCGATATGGTCCATGGATTGGATCCGATGAAATCCCCCATCGCCCATCGGATCCAGTCTGTGGACCACCCTGACACTCGATTGATCATACTTGACATGATCCACGTATTGGATCCGATGAAATACTCACTCACTATCGGATCTAGTTTGTGGACCACCCTGACTAGCTCCACTGATCATACTCGACACGGTTAACGGATCGAATCCCATGAAAATATCACCATGATCGGATCCAATCCGTGGACCATGTGGCCGGGGGGGCACCCTACTCGATAGAGGTCGACATTCTCGATATCGAGATGATCCACGCATCAGATCCAGTCTGTGGACCACCCAGAGAAGCTCTAATGATCACACTCGAGACGGTTCGATGAACATCCACCCGTGGGGACAATGAGGATTTCCAACGTCGTCGCGCGGGTCGGACGATTAAGATGAGCACCGAATGAGTTGCCGCCTTTCAATAAAGTACATGAGATTCACCGAAAAATAGCAGGAATAAAGAATACTACAATGCATTTTATGGCTGATTTGGGGACAAGAAACCGCATCGAGGTACTGGTTGAGGATGAATGTTGGATAACTTGTACCGTATGGAAGAGGTGGATGAGGGTGGAGAAGCCAACGGAATCGCAGCGTTGGTCGACTGCGGTCGACTGCGGCCAACTGTCTTCTTGCACGTATCAACACCTGGTGTGTTCAGTCGAACAGGTTCGAAATCCTTCCTCCCCAATTACCGAGCCACTCCAAACACCGATCATTATGAAACGCCTAAGGCGTCCACAGCCAGGCCGGCGATTTCGGGATGAGCGAGGTAGAAGCATATTGCAGAATACGCGATCAGGCTGAAATCAGCTGGATGTCAACTCTTTCAACCTATTGACGACGTCTCGAGTATAAGAATGGTGAGGTCCTAGTATCTTTTTACCACCCGCCAGTGCACGCTGAAGCATTGCCTTAGCCTCTTCGACCTTGCTCTGGTCACGATACAGTAAGGCCATGTTATAAATGGTGTTGAGAGCTGGAATAGTCTTGGACTGTGAAGCCCTCTCGTACCCGGCCAGGGCTCGCTGGTACATCTCCTCCGCCTCGCCCAGTTTGCCTTGGTCAACGTATAGATTGCCGAGATTGTTGACGGTCTTGAGGGTCGACGTGTGGTCCCCGCCCAGCGCCTTCTCGTACCCGGCCAGCGCTCGCAGGAACATCTCCTCCGCCTCGCCCAGTTTACCTTGGACACGGTATAGATTGCCGAGATTGTTGACGGTGTTGAGGGTCGACGTGTGGTCCCCGCCCAGCGCCTTCTCGTTCCCGGCCAGCGCTCGTGAGTACATCTCCTCCGCCTCGCCCAGTTTGCCTTG